GGTCGTTTTCAAAATGTGGCTCTCGCCTTAGAGCTGCGCACATTCAATTCAAACAATTGCAAGAGCTTCACGGATTGAGGACGGTTCCTTTTCAAAATGTGGCTCTCGCCTTAGCGCCGCACACCTTCATTGAAACATGTGCAAACATTTCACGGATTGAGGGCGGTTCCTTGTCAAAATGCGGCTCTCGCCTTAGCGCCGCGCGCATTCGTTTATAAATGATGCAAGAGTTTCACGGGTTCCCACGGTCAACGTACAAGAAACTGTGATTTGGAAGGATTCAGGATTATGCGGGTACCACAGTTACATTAATTCGGGGTGTTGTAAACGCAGGAATGGCATTCTGGCACGATTCAGGATCATCAAGACGCAGCAGTCAGGTTGATCCGTGGCGTTGGAATCCCGAGAACAATGGTTTGGCATGCGTCAGGGTCTTCAAACGGTTGGTTGTTTCCAGCAAACACTTTCCTCAGTGATAAAGAATCGTTGTATGGGGCCTATGAAGAGGGGGCGTGGAGAGAGGGTTAATTCCAACATTGTTGATGACTCTTGGGTTTACACTGGTCCTCCTCCTCAATCTCCTCCGTATCCGCCTCTGCCTCAGTCTCCTCCTCCTCCTCCTCCTCCTCATCATCATCATCACCACCACCACCATCACCATCATCAGCATCATCATCATCATCATCATCATCATCAGCATCATCAGCATCATCATCACCATCAGCATCAGCATCCTCCTCATCAGCATCATCATCATCATCATCGTCATCATCATCAGCAGCATCAGCATCGTCATAATCATCATCATCATCATCAGCACCATCAGCATCATCATAATGATCATCAGCATAATCATCATCACCACCACCACCACCACCATCATCATCATCATCATCATCACCATCAGCATCATCATCATCATCATCATCAGCATCATAATCATCATCATCATCATAGTCAGCAGCATCATCAGCATCATCGTCATCGTCATCGGCATCGTCAGCATCAGCATCAGCATCATCATCATCATCATCAGCATCAGCAGCATCATCATCATCATCATCATCATCATCATCATCATCGTCATCGTCATCGTCATCGTCATCCTCAGCAGCATCATAAGCAGCAGCAGCAGCAGCATCATCAACAGCATCATCATCATCGTCAGCATCATCGTCATCTTCAACGTCCGCATCCGCGTCATCATCAGCATCAGCATCAGCATCAGCATCATCATCACCATCACCATCACCATCATCATCATCAGCATCAACACCAGCACCATCGTCATCGTCATCATCCTCATCCTCATCCTCATCCTCATCCTCATCCTCATCCTCATCCTCATCCTCATCCTCATCCTCATCCTCATCCTCATCCTCATCATCATCATCATCATCATCATCATCATCATCATCATCATCATCATCATCATCCATACTCCTCCCTCCTCCTCCTTCCTCCTGGCGCGTACCCAAGGGCCTCCGCCTCCCTCCTCCTCCCCCTCCTCCTCCTTCTCCTCCTCCCTCCTTCCCTCCCGCCCTCCCTCCTCCTCTTCCTCCTCCTCCTCCTCCTCTTCCTCCTCCTGCTCCACCTCCTCCTCCTAATCCTCCTTGTCCTCCCCCTCACTGGCGCGGCCTTGGCCCCACTGGCCGACTTACACGCCTGCGTGGGTGGGGAATTGATCCCTGCTCCCTTGGATGTTGCGTGGCCTGTCCCCACCTGGGGTGGGTGGGCTGGTGGGGCTACGATACCATGGTCCCAATGGGGGAAAGCATAGCGGCCTCGTGCCGCGACTTTGGCGGGCCGCCAGCACGGCGCACCGCGTGGAGCATAACTACCCAGGGCACCTGCGCGCGCGCGTGGCCTTGCGCGGGCAGCTTGCCGCGCGAATGTCCGCGCAGTCGCTGGAGGCCTGGAAATGATGAACACCAACACCAACACAAGGGGGTGCCTCCACTCGGGGGAGATGATTCTGGATGTTGGTGCTGATGGCTATCTCACGGCCACCTAGGAAGCCCGAACAGTACCGCCAACATCGAGATCGGGATCACCTTACCCTTGGTGGAGGCACACCGCCGATATTGGCGTTGGTGTCAACCTCTACACTTGGGCCCCCTTTGTTCCCTACCTAGGCTCTGCCTAGAAGGGTTCTTACTCTCTGGGCTTAAAAGGGCCGGGCAGTGGAAAGCGCCCCGGGCGGTTCCCCCAGTATCCGCCCCGCGGTTCCCCCAGTTATGTCACCTTAGCTTAGCGTTGCTTATCTCATATTAGCTTACCTTATTTCATCTTAGCTTAGCTTAGCTTCATCTTACCTCAGGTTTATCTTAGCTTAGCTTACCTTCATCGTAGCTTTGCTGAGCTTTAGCATAGCATAGCACAGCATAGCGTAGCATATCATAGCGCAGCACAGCATATCATAGCCCAGCATAGCATAGCATAGCGCAGCATAGCATAGCATAGCATAGCATAGCATAGCATAGCGCAGCACAGCACAGCACAGCACAGCATAGCACAGCGCAGCATAGCATAGCATAGCAGAGCATAGCAACTAATGCTGCTTTCCTAGGGGCTCCAACTTCTAGGTAGGGTCGCACTGGGGTAAGTTTTTTCAAACATCCTGTGAAGTCGGGCCCTCGTTTTGAAGAGACAGCGCCCCGCGTTCTGTCCTCTCCTCTCCTCTCCTCCCTCCTCCACCTCCTCCCTCCTCCCCCTCCTCGCCTCTGCTCTCCGCATCAGTCTACCACTTCAGCACACCCCTCACACTCTTTGTGGCCCCATGAGGAGCTCCACCGAAGGCCCAAGTGGGAAAGTTCGCATGGCACCGCCGCCCCATCTCGGCACACCCCTCACACGTTCCGTGGCCCCATAGCGAGCTCCACCTGCACACCTCACACGCTTCGTGGTCCCACAGGGAGCTCCACCTAAGGCCCCAAATGGGAAACATCGCATGGCACCGTCGCGCCCATCTCGGCACACACACACCTATATATATATATATATATATATATATACATATGTATGTATACATACACCTGTATATACATACATACATACATACATACATACATACATACATACATACATACATACATACATACATACATACATACATACATACATACACACACATCTCACATGTTTCGTGGCCCCATGGGGGAGCTTCACCTCAGGCCCCAGTGGGAGGGTTCGCATGGCACCGCCGCGCCCGTTTCGGTACACCCCTCACACGCTTCGTGGTCCCATAGGGAGCTCCACCAAAAACCCCAGTGACTGTGTTTGCATGGCACCGCCGCGCCCATTTCGGCACACAAACACACACACACACACACACCTCACACGCTTCGTGGCTCCATACCGCCACGCGCATTTCGTTTATCCCAAGGCTGCTGCGATATCCGTCGCATAAGCGACATGCAATTGACGTAATTAGCTTCGTGCTCTAGCCCTCCTCCTCCTCCTCCTCCTCCTCTTCCTCTCATCCCTCTTATATCCCGCCACCCATTTCGGCACACCCCTCATACGGTTCATGGCCCCATAAGGAACGCCACCGAATACGATATGCACAATTGAAGAACTCACAACTACATATGGTTGGGTCCTTGGCCAGGCTAATTATTCTAAGAATCTAAGAAACCAAATTTGGTCTGCGTGCGTAAGGCGGGAATGTGGGGTCGCTGGACGAACGTAACAAGCGCACGTTGGCATGCTTTTGAGTATGCCCCGGCGAGTTCGCGTGGTCGTTTTGCGTATGGTCGTCTCGGGTATGGTCGTTCTGGGAATGCCGACGCGAGATTCGAGTGGTGGTGCCATCAAACGAGTTAAGACGAAGCCAAGACGAAGATAACATCGGGTGAGGATCACTCGGGGAGATCCCGCGGCTCTGGAGGATGTCTTGGGCGCCGCGGCCTTCTCGGAGCGTTCGGGAACGCTCTGAGAGCGTTCCCGAACGAGCGTTCTCGAACGCTCTGGAACGGACTTGTCCTTTATCCAGCCTCGTCCGACGAGTCAAAGAGAACACAACTCTAGGCCTCTGCATGTGGAAACGCAAAGGTATCGATACCGCTACTCCCTGGACCTTTCCCCGGGGTGCGTTCTGACCAGAATTCCGAGGCGAATTGAGCGGTGGCGACGAGGGCATCCCACGAGCCCAAAAAGGGAAAGCGAGGGAAGGGTAGAGGTATGGGCACCTTTTCTAGAGAAAGGACAAACAACATAAACTTAAACTGTTCGAGGTTTGCGTGGATGTCTTGCATCCGCTCCGGAACACCATCCCCAGCGCGCGGAGCGGGGGGCTCCCCAGCGCGGATCCAAACGCGGAGCGTCGAAAGTGTATGCTCCAGGCGTTGTCTTCCTCGGATAGAGGTATGGGTACCTCCTCCTCCTCCTCTCACCGCAGCCGACCCCGCTTGCCCTCCGCCGCTCACCTGCCACCCCCGCCTGCCGAGCAGCCGCGCCCGCAGCGCGGGCAGCCGCCGCCAGCACCCCTCCTCCTCCGCGACGCGCCCGGCGCCGGCCGCCGCCGCGGCGAGGCGGCCCCCGCCCTCGAAGAAGTCCTCGGTGCGCGGGGGGGGACTTGGCCCCACTGGTCCTCGTCCTCCTCCTCCTCCTCCTCCTCCTCCTCCTCCTCCTCCTCCTCCTCCTCCTCCTCCTCCTCCTCCTCCTCCTCCTCCTCCTCCTCCTCCTCCTCCTCCTCCTCCTCCTCCTCCTCCTCCTCCTCCTCCTCCTCCTCCTCCTCCTCCTCCTCCTCCTCCTCCTCCTCCTCCTCCTCCTCCTCCCTCGCAGATTCGACGGCGAGCGAGGGGGAGGGGGGAAGCTCGAGGCTCGAGGTGTTCGAGGTCCTCGGGCGGTGACGTGGTCTCTTGCTGGCTTCCAGCCTCGGGGTGCGTTTCAGCGGCTGCGCCTCGCCGAAGGCGTTCTGGGCATGCCCAGATCGTCCCGAGCTGCCGCCGGAGACCCGAGCCATGGCCCGATAACTGCACTCGGCGGCGCGCCCAAGA